AACACTGACATACTACGATTCTTGAGAGCAGTATGAATCAGGATGTACCACTTAAAAGGGTTCATAGGGGAAGCTATCTCTTGATATTAACAGGCTGAGAATCTAGAGCTTGATTTTTTTCTTTAATAAAGACCATCAAGCTGATGTTCTGCTTCCTCTTGAGAGACAAAATACAGATCAGTCTGGCTGGTTGGAGCAGCCAGAGGAGATGTCACTGAGCAGCACTTGTTGCTGGTCCTGCACAGAGCCACGGGTGTTTGAACTTGAGTCCAGAAACAAAGAAAACTGTATTTAAAGAGTTGAAGGAGCATTTGGACAGCACTCTCAAACACAAAGTTTGGATTTGGGGTGGTCCAGTGTGAAGCCAAGAGCTGGACTCTGTAAATCCATGTGGGTGCCTTCCATCTCAGGAAATTCTGTGACTCTGTGACCTGACCTCAGTCACAGTGGCCTGGTTTCCCAGCCATCAGCATTTCCCACGAGTTTCATAGGCTAGCAAGTAGGAGAAGGCCAAACTGAAAGCTGGGCACTTTGGCACCCTGCTCTCTATAGAGAGTGTGGTGCTTTTGCTTTTCCTTTAATTAACTGCATTCCTAGCTATCCCGTAAAATATATTTTTGCCATTCTTGCAAAACAACACTTTACTATTTGATGTGCTGCTGTTAACAACTCCCCAGCCATAGTTCCAACCTCAGTTTTACCCATTGGAACACTTTAATAAGGCTGAGGTTTTCTTACAAGCTCTATAAACATCTCTGTTGTCATCCTGCTGATTAAGATCAGCAATACGGGCACCCTGGAGTTCTTGTACCATGTCACTTGTAGCTCAGGTTTGATCTCCCTGGTTTAGATTTGAACAATTATAGCAGCTCTGCTAATACTGTGGGAGGGGAAGAAGGAAATGCATTCTCAGCCACTTCCTGATGCAGCCAATATGTCTCCCAGCTGTCACCACGGGAGCACAGCTGTGCCAGCTCCATGCAGGTGTTGGAGGCTCCGAGAGCCACCAACCTGTCCTCTCCTGTCACCAGAGTGCTCTCACAGCACGTGGTCTCAATGCATTTTGGCAAATGGGAAGTTTAGGTATTGCCAGGGTTGGGAACCTGTGTGCTGAAAAGTCCTGAATGAGGTCCTACTTCTCTTCCTTCCTCCAACTTTGATCTGATAAGGCTTTTTAAGCACACACATGGCTTTCTTCCCACTGTCCAATCATCAACTTTTTCTCTGAATTCATGAAATTCGTAGAAAATCTCTTACAACCTCCTAATTCAGCATCTGCAGCTACATGGAAGCAAACCAGTTGCTCAGCGATGGGGAAGACACACAACCACGCTATAAGCTGGCAGAATGGCTGTTTGCTTCCCAGTCCCAAAATACTGACTTTCACTTTGGCAATATCTTCACTTCTGCTGATGGTGAGATGGATGATTTCTCATAGTCTGCTCAGCAAACCTACGCAACCAGGAATTTCTCCAGAGACTTAGCATTCAGTTTAGACATGTGGCTACAGTTTTCCTGTGGCTGGTCAGACTTTAGGCTATGAATGATTGGCAGAAAGAAAAGCAGTGAAGATGGATGGGTCTCCCCCTAGCCCAGTGGAATCTGCATGCTCTGAGCAGAAGAGGGGGTGAGTCCTTTGGAGCAGCTCCTTTTGGAAATGGGAAGATGCTGAGCAGCTCCTGGCACTTGAATTCAAGTGGTTTGGCTTTAACTGGGTTCAGTTTAAGGCCTGAGAATCTCTTTTAGCACAGATTTTTCTGAACTGTGGCCCCTAGAGTGTACAGGGTATGGAAAAGCTCCCTCCTTAGGCTTAACACCAGTTTCCAAATGCTGGTACTGGAGAGAACGTTTTGGCAAAGTGCTGACTCCTTCATTTTCCCCATCATTGTCCTTATGAAAACCACCCTTTCCTGAAGTATTATCGTGTTCCTTCTCTTGAAACAATGATCCATAGATTCAGCTCTTTCCATTTTAACCTGTTCCGATGTTGTTTACGCTGGCGGAAATCAGGACCAATGCCAGCACAAGTTCACAAGGTGGCTAACACCAGAGATTTTCCTCTGCTCTCCCACATCCTCAGAATATGTTTTTACTGTCCAGCACTATTTCTCTTCTGTTCCTTCCTGAGGTTGTTGCATGGCACATGTGTGAAGATGCTTTCAAGGCTCCGCCATGCAGGACACATCCCAAAGGAGAGGGGCTGCAGCCTTTTTGTGCTCCTGCTGCCCTGTGAGGAGTGAGCATGGCTTGGCATTGCTGCAGCATGCCTTTGGGCTGGTAGCTTAGTCTTGAGCAGCCAGGGCTGGTGATTGCCTATCTCGATAATAACCGTGTGAAAGCTGTTATCTAGTCCACCCTTCTACTTTCCAGCCATTGTATGGTGGCACTCGTGCATTACTTGGCTTGGCAATCTCCACTCATTTCCTCAGAGCTGGACCAAAATCGCCTCTGATCTTGCTGCCCATTTCCTTGCCCAGCTGGGCATGAAATCACAGGTCTGCATCATTGCCAGGAGCATCCAGCTTCCTTCCATGGGCTCCTTCCAGCCACTGTTTTGCTGGCTGAACCCTCTCCAAATACAGCATCTCAACCTACTTACTGGGTTTCCCAGAGCCACGTAAGCCTCTGCAGTCTTTGGGCAATCTTCCTAAGCACACACTCTTTTGCTCTCTCTTTTTACTTCAAACTCGTCTGCTTACAGCTAACAGGAGTTGTTTTCTGTCTGACCGCAGACTCATCTTGAAACAAGAAAGTACTTTCACTGGAAAGTAGAATTCTGAATTTCAGATTATATATACATAATATGAACAATGAAAATGGTTTCTTGGCATCTTCTTACATTCCTCCCTCTGGTTAGCCCTTCTGTGAATTACCTATCGCTCCCTTCCACAAGTTCCCACTCCTCCTTCCCTCTCATTATCTGTGATAATGAGGCTCCCAGCTGTGGCTCTTCTTGCTGCTTCACTTTCAGCTTTCAGCCTGAAAGGGGAAAGATTGCAGTGGCCAAAAGCTCATCATCTTCCAGTTGTATTAGTTCATCTAATGAAGAGGATTACCTCTACCCACCTCGATTACATAACATACGTGAGTCACCCGGATCTCAGAAGTGTTCTATCTGGCTGAGGTGCCAGCACACAAAAGGCCATTGATGTCCCTGTTATTTAATGAGAGTCTCAAGCCTCAGCAGAAGCCCAGACAGGGTGTGCGCTTCATGTGGGCAAGAACCCTCCAGCCTATAAATGCCCTTCCTCAAAAGCTTCCCAGTCCTGGACCTGTTACAGCAGCCCATGAGCTTTGTACTCTTGAGTGAGTCCATGTGGGTTTAGGAACCTTTAGCCTCTGTCATATAGGTCTCACGGAGACGAACTTTTTGAGCCTCCAAGAAAAGCAAAGGTGACATATGGCATTCATGACAGGTGGAAGTCCCACCTGTGGTGAACCTGGTAAAAACCTGGTACCTGCTGGCTGCTGCAGGAGGGACCTGTTTGCTGCAAACCACATGTTGAGATGGTGTTGGCCAAAAACCTTTTCCTTCAGGAAGCACAGCCATCTAAATCGTGTGGGCAGGGACCAGGTGGCTCCACACCCGAGTTGTGTTTCACAGAGAGCGTTTCAGTTTTTTCTCTGTGTGGCAGAACATGAATCAGAGAAATGACAGGCGAGCAAATCTGCAGCCAAGGAAAACTAGGAGGTGCTGAGCTAACCAAAAGCCTTTTTGGATACGGAGATGCTGCTCGAGTGTCAAGAGAAGGGAACACATGTGGGTGTGAAGATGTTTGGCACCTCTGGGTCTCCATCCTCCTTTGGGAGAGGCCAGGAAGGAGAAATACCCCTAAATATTTGTTCTCTTGCATGAGTCTGAGTGGGATTGTGTGTGTGTGTGTTTGTGGTAACGGAGTGAAGATCAAACCCATTTCCTTGGCTTTGAAGTTTGGACTGCTGCTGAGCTCAGTTCAGGTAGCAGTGAGGGCTTTGCCTGCTCAGCACAGGAGCAGCGTAAAAGCTCAGCCAAACTAAATCAACAGCAGATCTTTTTCCATGTATATCCTTTTTTATCTCAAATCCTTTATGTGCGTGCAACTCTAGTGGTTCCCAGTGTGTTGGGCAGCATCTTGCTTTTTGTTTTTGTTTTTCTGAAAGGATTTCAGTTAATGATAGCTGCACAAAGCACTTTGTCCTCCTTCTCTCCATATGTGAATTCATTCCACTTGCTGGGATATTCCTGTTCCTCCCAGAGGAAGGACTCCAGAATAACTGCAGTTCCCCAAAAACCCAGCAATAATTTGGGCTTAGGTCACAGAGCTGCCCTGAAGTCACCCTGAGACCCCTTGAGGGCAAAACATCTTTGTGGGACACATTCCCACCACCTCAAGGCACGCTCATCCCATTTCACAGCTCAGGGCTGTATATTAGCCTTAAGGTTCCCCATACTGAGCAGAGACCCAAATTCTGTGAGTGGCCCATGGGGAAGACACCTGGGTGCTCAACTTGCTTCCAGTGCAGCTCTCCTTGGTGGCACAGGAGTCAATACTGAGCATGAAGACCCAGAGCTGTTCCCAGCCCCATGGGCACAAGGAGAAGCAGTGACAGACACCCATGAGGGCATTGCCCAAGGCCAGAACCTCCCTGTCCTGCACCATTGCCAGCCTCTGCCTCCTGGCTTGACATGCATGGAAAGCTGGGTTGGTTTAACCCTCAGGAGAACAAGCACTGATGTTACAGATTCTGAGTTAAATGAGGGGAGAAATGTTGGGGGCTTTGTGATTCACAGTGCCACTGCCATCGCTGAAACGTGAGACCAACCTCTTGGTGTTGTGCTGAGAGTCATAGGGAATCATTCCAGCTGTATTCCCAGCTGTTCCCTTAGGTTCAGCTGAATTGTCTCTCAGTACGCTTGTGGGTTTTTTTTTTTTTTTTTTCATGTGTGTGTGTGTGGTTTTTTTAATTACTTTTTAACAAAAACAAGCGACGAAAGCTGGCTGGGCTGCTCTCAGCATTGGCCGGAGCTGCTTGGGCCCTCCCTGCGGCCGCTGGAAGCCGCGAGCAGCGCGGGGCCAGCTTCTTGGCCAGACGCTGCTGATTAAAGCCGGCGTGTTGGGCCGAGCACAGTCAGTCCCGCTCAGCTCAGTGCTCGGCATGGCGCTGCGGGGAGCCTGCCTGCTGCTCTGCCTCGTCTCCCTCGCCCACATCTCCGTCCAGCAGAACGGCAAGGGCAGGCAGAAGCCGGCGGCCTCCAAGAAAGGTAAGGGCCAAGTCTGCGGGATCCTGCCTGGCGTGAGGGGCAATCGGCACAGTTAGGGGAGCTCTAATGGAGCTTTTAGCTTTTAAAAACCCAAGGAAGTCTCATTTTCTTTTAACACCTGTAGGAATGCTTTCGTAAGTTAGAAAGGATAGAGGAGTGTTTTGGGCAGGTTGCTGTACTGAATGCATGCGGTGGGGTAACCTGAGGGTCAGAGGGCACCGTGTTTTCTGTGTCCTCCTCAAGGCTCTCCCCAAACTTCCCCTCTGCTATAGTCTCCCTTTCTCCAGCCCCTACCTCTGCTCATTCATTTTCCAGAAGCTAAGTGGCAGCTGTGGCGGAGCTGCAGCCAGGAGCAGACAGCAATACATCACCTATTACAGGCAGCATGGCTCATCATTTTCAAGTGCTTTTCTTCTCATCCCTCCTCTCCTCAGCCCAGAGCAGACACCCAGAGCACAGAGCAGGCGGTGAGCTGCTTTGCAGGCTCTTTGCTCTTCGGAGCAAGCGAGAGTGGGAAGGAAGCATCCCAGGAATTCACTTGGCTGTGCTCTCCCGCAGCTATTTTTGTCAGATCCCATCCTTGAGAAACTTTTTCTCCCAGTGGACCTCTCTATGAAATTGGTGCAGATCTGCTTAGTCCACAGCAGTGGTTTCTGCCTGTGTTGTATAGCAAAAATACCACCTTGCAAGAGGAATCTCATTTCTTAGGGAGATCTTATCTATCATTGGAAGTGATGGGAGCCCCATCTCCTGGGGCTCCTCTTCATCCCTTGCCACCTCCAAGCCCACTCATGGTAAGGATGTGATGTCACTCTCCTGTCCGCCATCCTTGCTCCTGTCCCGCTTGGTGGCCAGATGAAGGGAGTGAAAACCACCAGCAATCCCCTCGCAGTCCCTCTGCCCTTCACTGGGGTGGCTTGGACAGGGCAAAGTCATGGGAGTGTTGGGGCATTTTGTTGGGTTTGTATTTCTTAATCTGTGTGGCCAAGCCACAAACAGAAGAAATCAATGCTTTGAGCCAAAGCCTTTTCAGCTCTTTTTTCTCTTCTCTTTCTTTGCGCTATTTCTTTTCTTTCTTCATGATGTAATTATTGCTTACATTTGGATCTCCTTCAGAGCAAAAACGGTGCCGTTTCACCAAGAAAAACCCAAAACTACCATTTCAAAAATGCTGAAATAACACATTCACTTTGCCTGTTGTTTTATCCCCCTCTCAAATTGCTCCCGGTAATTGCTCCAGCTGCAGCACTTCAGCAAATCCTCTCCAAACCCCAGTGGGGTGGGGGTGGCCAGTTGCAGGGGTAATGCCACTGGGAGAGGGTGCAGACTAGGGACCCCCAGCACTATGGGCTTCCTCTGATCGCAGCCAGGCAGAGTCCATGAGGGCATGGAGGGAGCACCTCTGTGTAGCTCCTACACATATTTTTACGGTATTTGGAGTCCAGATGCAGGTACTTGCAAATCAGCGGGTAGAGGTTGACATGGACTCTGCTCCTGACTCTGCCCCAATTCCTGTGTGATTTCAGAGCCTCAATGTCAGTAAGCAAGAGACTTCAGAAAGTGCCTGCAGACATTTCCAGCAACACAAACCCCATGCAGAGGTTCTCCGTCCCCTCCTGTGCTCCAGGAACATGCTGGGCTGAGGCACAGCTTATGCAACATGCCTTTGCAACAAGTAAAATCAGCCCTGAGTCCCCATTTGCAGCCTCAAGCACATTGCTTATGAACTTTTCATAACCAGAGCATCACGACCCAGCTCTTTCTGCAGTTCCCTTCTCTTCTTGTCCCTGTCCTCAGCCTTCTAGCTCAGGGGTGGCCAGCCCAGGACTTACTCTGGCTCCCAGGGACAGCACTGGCACACTGCTGGCTTCAGAGCCCCAAAACCAACTGCAACAGCTTTGATCACAGCTTACAGAGATGAGCTTTCAGGAAATAAAGGTGCAGAGACAAATACTACTCTTGCTCCCAGGCAGAGCAACGAATGGAGCTGCCCTGGCAAGACTCACTGAGAGTGCCTCACCATGGCCTTTGGATATTACTTAAACCTGAGGGACATTTGTTCTGCTAGAAAAGAGGCTTATATGGATAAACAACTGTGCTAATTAGCTGTTTCCCACAAAGTATTTTCATCAAGGCATCAAAATAATAGCTAGTGCCTGAATCGCAACTGAACCCATTAAAGTTAATTGAGCAAGGAGCAAAGCAGCTGAAGGCTCTCCTCCTGGTCTGTTTGTGCTTTTGTGTGCATGACACATGTAATCTTCAGGCTGGTGGTTTGGTGAGCATCCAAGTTCCTTCCCCACTTGCCTCAGTTGATGGCACAGCTCCACAGCTCCCTGACCCCAAAGGAAGGCTCTTTTGCTGCTTTGTGGGCAAACTGAGGAGTGACAGGTATAGAGCAATGACCACAAATGCCTCTATGTCCCATCTTCCACTTCCTCCATCCCATACCAGTCCTTCTGTGCAGGAGAAATCGGAGAGAGAAGAGCTGGTACTAAGCCATGTGTTGGTGACCTTCCTGGTAACAGCGTGATCCATGATACAGGACTCCATTTAATGCTAGCAAAATCTTACTGAAGGGATGAGTTTCTTGCACTCATTCTCCTCACTGTGTCTTAGGAGACATCACTGTGGCTTGCAGTAGAGAAAGGCTAACTTTACAAAGGAGGCTGTGATGAAAATGTGCTTCACTTCTCACCCAAAGAAGCCACAGGTGACACTTTTCACCAGTGTTCTTCCCAGAATAATTTTGGGCAGGTCTCCCCATGCAGTACTAATGTACAGCAGCCCAAATGCTGTAGCTTGAGCAGCCCGCTGCAGTGGTGCTGCTATTACCACAACTCCCCTGCTAGAAACATCGTGAATATTAAGCCATGGTGCTTGGATCAGCCATGTCATTCACCCAGAACCAGCAGTCCCAGGACTGGTACCACCACTGCCCACTCTTGAATCCAGCAGTTGGTGGTTAATAAGTGAGGAGAGCGATGCCCCAAAACCCAGCCTGAGGGACCTGGGCTGATGGTGCAGTCAGACTAGTGAGTAAATGCTATCTGATTGACTGTGGGAATCTTTTTTGTCTTTCTTTGTGGGGAGGGAATTGGGGATTTTTGATTATAGGAACAGTTCCAGCTGCCTCCTTTGGGGCTGTGGTGGATGTTTATGCTCTCTCTGGATTTCTCCAACAGATGGTGTGAGTCTCAAAATGATTGAAGACCTGAAGGCCATGATTGACAACATCTCTCAGGAGGTTGCTCTACTGAAGGAAAAGCAAGCACTTCAGACAGGTAAAGGACTCCTTGAAGAAGGCTTGGCTTTTGCTTAGAGAGTGGAGGTGCTTTTAAAGCGGTTAGCATTGTTCCATGTGATGCTGACAAGGGATACCCTAGCAGGCCACGATGATGTGTCCATCACACGGAGCAAACTGGGGATCAAAGCAAAGTGTGGTCTCTCTGCAGCTCCTCCAGGCACAGGAAGCGCCTCAGGCAGTTAATGATAAGCGTTGTGCAGCATATGGCCCCTTTCTTTATGCCTTAGAGCTTCTCATTTGCAAAGCTATTGATATTTCTATGATACTAAGCCAGATGTTCATTTTCCATTACGAATCAGCAAGACGGGTGATAGATTATTCTCCACTTCAGTCAGATGAGCTTTATTCTTTGCCTCAGGCTTTTGTCTGAAGCCTGGGGAGCTGGTTACCTAATCCCTCATACATTCCATGCTCTTGCCCAGGCGACTCCGCTGGGGATTGATCCCCCCATGCCTTATGTGACAGGCATGGAGTACAGGCCCCAAAATTTCTTTTTCCAGATGTGCTCCATGGTTATTCTGTGCAAATTCCATGACACCAGTAGGATCTGCAGAACACGAAACAGAAATACACTAAAAGTGCAAGTTAAGGAGAATTTTCTCCCTAAAAGAAAAGAAACACAAGCAAAATCAAGGCTTTAGATTCAAGCTCAGTCATTGAAATGTAAGCAGTCTGGATATTAATGCATAGCTCTGATTAGCTATTCTTTGGATGGAGTACCCTGTATTCTCAGGGTTTAAAGCTTAAAAATTAAAAGGTTGCTATTCTTAACAATGAAATCAGAGGCAAATAGAAATTTCCTCTGAAGACCTCCACCTCTGCAAGCACAACACTTCTGATCAAAACCTATAAAAAAGACATTTTTTTCACTCTTGCATAATCAAGATGGTTGAACTGCAATTGCAGGCTGCTGGCTGCTTTTCCCTAAATGCCCAGCCCCCAGCAGAGATATGTTGTACCCCAAGGAACTCAATCCAGAGAGTGTAGCCTCAACTTGAGCACACTAAGGATGGGATCACCCCTGGGACCTTTCTGGGAGGCTGTTTCCAAATGTGGAGGCCACGTTCCTCCTGTGACAACTAGGGGCCCTGAGGGATGCACATGCTGTGCTTGCTGGATGTCCATTTTAAACCCAATTCTCTTCTTGTCTCTCTGTTCCATTCACGTGGCAACTTCTCAGTCTGCCTGAAAGGCACCAAAATTCACCTGAAGTGCTTCCTGGCGTTCTCTGAGAGCAAGACATATCACGAAGCCAGCGAGCACTGCATCTCGCAGGGCGGCACGCTGGGCACGCCGCAGGGTGGAGAGGAGAACGACGCGCTCTATGACTACATGCGCAAGAGCATCGGGAACGAGGCAGAGATCTGGCTGGGCCTCAACGACATGGCAGCCGAGGGCAAGTGGGTTGACATGACGGGTGGCCCCATCCGCTACAAGAACTGGGAGACCGAGATCACCACACAGCCCGATGGCGGCAAGCTGGAAAACTGCGCGGCCTTGTCAGGGGTGGCGGTGGGCAAGTGGTTTGACAAGCGGTGCAAGGAGCAGCTGCCCTACGTCTGCCAGTTCATGATCGTGTAGCGGGGCTCTGTAGAGCTGTAGGATGGCTACCTGCACGCCCACACACCCACACGCACCTCCACGTAGCGCCGCGACCGAGGCAGCCGCCATGGCCTGGTATCAGGTCGGAGCTGCGCTGCCTTTCACTCGGCTGCATCCAGCCCCATTTGCATCCCTCTCCCTATGGCATGATGTATAGATATATTTTTGTACACGGGGAACTGATGAGGTGGTTTCGATGAAGACCCGGTGTGACAGCCCAGGCTCATCAACAGCCACGTGAGCTGCCAGGGCTGTCTTTCCGCAGCCTCTGTTGCCACTTTGCTGAACCTTGCTGGGACACGGCAATGCCAGTCTGTGCCTTCTCCTCCGGCCTCGCTCCCCTGCAGGCCCTGGCACAGGGATCAGGGTCCTGTCTCAGAGAGCAGTGCGTGTTATTTCTGCTTTGTGCTCAGATCCATTGGCCTTGTACCCAAGCACTGTTGGAACTGTTGGCCCAGTGTCACGCTGCTCAAGGGGCTGGCATGCTGAGAGGAAAAGTGTCTTTCTCACAAGCATTCCCCTTTTTTTGATCCTTTTCTCATCAGTCAGAAGAAAGTGCTTCATTTATCTCAGTGAGGGAGCTAGCCCCAGCGTCACATCTTTCAAAATTCCTGCCATAAGCTTTATTTATCCTCCTGCCCCACACAGGAAGCAATGATTACTTGCAGCATACTCAGTCAAAGATATTCTTGGGAGCAGAAGGTGAAGGTACTAGGTAAACAAAAAATCTGCAACGCTATCAGGTAATACGCTGCTCTATAGAAGGCAACTAGCTACCAAAAGTAAACCCTCAACAAGTCTGACTTTAGCCACTTTAGGAGTTTTAGGACCTGTATTAGTGATGAATTACTCCAGTCCTTTTTGGTCAAGGCCCAGTCCTCAGCAAACACAAATGTGCTGAGTATCACATGCAGTGGTAAAGATGAAGACCTGGCCTTGGTAACTTTCTGCTGAGAAAAGGGTTGAAAAAATTGAAATATAAATTGGCATCATGGGAAGGCAATCACAGTCTTGCTGACACTGATTTGCTGACTTCTGGCCAAAGCATACCAGTGGCTCTTTGATGCCCAGTGCTTGGTACCAGCCCAGTTCTTTGGATTACACATCCCTAGCATGGCTAGGCAGAGGGCAGCCTGATGGGAATCATATGTTCATGGGGAGCCCTTAGGAGAAGTGTTTCCATTTGCTGCTTTGCCTAAAACCAGCATGGTGATGGGGCTTCTAGGATGTCATGTGGGAGAGCCAAGCTGCAGGGGTCAAAACACACACACACACAGTGCATACTTCCCAGGCTGTCATTATTGCCAAACTTTCTGCTGTTCAGATGAATACAAAATAAAAATATATATAGCTTGCTGAAGGAATGGAGTTGAGTCAGTGTGGTTGGACTGCTTCCTTCTCCTTTGCCTTTCTCTTCAAAACAGCACCGGGGACCTTTCTGAGGGTAGGGGACATAGGAGGCAGAGGGCAAAAGCAGGAAGCAAAAGTCCACTGTTCTGTAGGATTGTCCCTCCTCTTATTATTCCAGTCAGAGGCAGGGAATCCTTTTACAGGAAAATAACATTTCCTCCCTCCTCTTGCTGCTGGGAATTTTCAGGAGCCAACCCAGAAGAAAGGACCTTCCCTTGCCCGTGTCTGGCAGCAGTGGCAATACTGGAGAGGTGACCCTTCCCCACCTGCCTACCTCCTCCTTTGTAGCCAGCAGAGCTGTGGCAGCACTAAGCATCCCCCTCCTTCCCTCAGTGACATGGTGAGAGCTTCTCCCTCCTCCTCCTTCCCCTCAGCGTCCCCAAAGACCACGCAGAGCTGTGGAAAGCAGAGCTTGCCAGAAGGCCAAGACAGCATCCTATGAGGTAGCTCATCTCCACGCATGCTCTCTGGTTCCCTAGACAGATGATCTCTCCAATTCTGAGATGTGTATGAAGGCAAAGTAGCAAAGCCCAAAGCCTTGCTGGCTTTAATCTTGATTGCTCATAAACTGCAAGGTCTTAAAATGCAAATGCACAGTCAGAGATATAAAGAGAAGTCTTTTATAATAGCCCAGGAACAAGAGGGGCAGTGTGAAAGCCGCAGGTCTTGGCAGTGCTGGGCTGTGGGGAAGATGCAGGTGCACAGAGTGTGAACCTTAAAAACAGCCCTGGAGAACAATGCCAGAGGATATTCCCCATGGGAACACTAAGGAGTCAGTCTGTCAAAAACTACAGTTTTTTTCTCTCTCTTGCTGCCTCTTTTCACAGCATTCTGCTCCCACCAGGCACTGTCCTTCCCAGATAGTTGGCTCTTCCGGAGTTGGGATGAGCGTGGGGAAAGGTGACATTGCTCCTGCCATCTTGCTGGACCTGGGATGCCGTGCCTCACCTTGTACACCTAGGGGTACACTTAAGAGTTTAGAAGTTCTCTACACGCTGCTCTACATTATGAATTTTCTTTTAAAAGCTAAAGATGTACTGTTCTTAACACGGGGAGGAGTTGAGATTTTGCATCAGCAGTTTCTTGGTGGTAGACTCTCTGGAAGATGCCTTATCCACAGTTACTTCTTTTTGTTCAGCCTTTTGAAGGCCAGAATTCACATCTTTCCTCTGTCCTGGCTCCACCTCCTTCTGTCACAGGACTGGGGCATCGAGGCTGTTCTGATGTCTCCAAACCTTACAGCAAGGCCAGATAAACCCCATTAAAATAGCAGTATGTGATAAGATCTTGTGCCACCGACCATGCTGCTCAGCTGACTTTCCACTTGTGTTGCAGAGCAGAAAGATGAAGTGTGGAAGGCACACGTATTCATAAAAGAAGAAAGGCTTCTGGCTGATGTCCTAGAAAGTGTTACCCAGCACTATGCCATCCACAGCTGATTTCAACAGAGCAACACTGATATACCCAACTGATGGTCCTGGCCCCAGTCCACCAAGTTCCTTAAGTAAAGGCAAAGGACCACTTGGTTAAAAGTGGAATGGCTAACCACAGAGCAGTTACTACCATGCTGAAGTGTCCTGCTAAGCAAGGGGCATAAGTGCACAATCAGTGGCACATGGTCTTACACAACATCATCTACTTTATTAATATTTAGATGCAGTCCCATCCCACTATCTTCTGCAAGGAACTGCTCCCAAACATCTCTGCTCCCTCATGTGATAACAGGAAAACACTCACCTTGCTGGGGCTAAGACCATTGGAGGAGTGCACTGGCAGCCCTCAAAGTGAAGGAGCCAAACCGTGTTATTTTCATGGGATTTACCCTTACAGCCCCTACTTAAGCACTGAATCCTCCTTCAGTACTGGATCCCTCCATCTCTCATTTTGCAAATAAAATAAGAAGTCACAACTATCCATCTCAGAAGCCCCTGTACAAACCACAGAGCTGTGAGGTTCAGCAAACAAAGCTGAAGCTCACAGTTGCTGGGAGAATAAATATAAAACAACTTGGAGTTGCTACACTGATGGAGCATAAAAAGCATCACCTTAGAGACAGAAAACAAAGCAGGGAGGAGAGAACATCAGTGGCGTGCAGAGTGCTTAATCTACCTGACAGTATCCCAAAGCATCCTCAGTATGGAAGCACCCAGTGGGAGGTCAAGGGTAACACCTGGGGCTGTGGCAGATGCTGCTAAAAAGAAAATCACCATGATAGAAACAACAGGTGGCTTCTCTCAGTTCCACGTGGACATGACAGAGCTGTGAAACCTCCATGCTGGGGCCTGGGCCACTGGAACCAGCAGCATAACCATGTGTAAGTAGAGAGCTGCTTGCAGAATAGCCATGTCTTGGCTTCTCCCTGCAAGAGAGCTATCTTCAGCCTTTGGAAAGGGCAGTGTGAAGCAGCTGCTTGGCAGCCCTACAGGCTGGCAATGACAAGCAGGTCTGAAGGAGTGATGTTTACAAAAGCACTACTTTGGAAGCATTGTGTCTTATAAAAGAGAATGTCAATCTCAGCCTTCCAGGACTGACAAAGATACTGAGCAAGGAGTTCTGCTGCTGCTTTGCCAAGAGTGACCAGAAGATGAAAACTGAAGCTCCATGCAGCGATTCAGCCAAAAGAAAACTGAAAACAACTTCACCAAATCCCCCTGAAGAAAACAAGATACATCGTACATTAGATGATCAGTCCCCAAACACAACTAACAAGTAGGTAGATGTAGTGAATCAGCCTAACAGCAGTGTCATATTGCTCTGCATTTGCAAGAGAACCATTCAGGTTGGAAAAGACCACTGAGATCACATTGTCCAGCTGCCAACTCACCCCCACCATGCCCACTGCCCACGTCCCTCAGTGCCACATCCACACGGTTCTTCAACACCTCCAGGGACGGTGGCTGTACCACCTCCCTGGGCAGCCTGTGCCACTGCCTCACTGCTCTTTCTGAGAAGAAATTCCTCCTAATATCCAACCTGAACCTTCCCCTGGCACAGCTTGAGGCCATCCCCTCTTGTCCTATCACTTTTACACGGAAGAAGAATCTGACCCCCACCTCGCCACAACCTCATTTTCAGGCATTTGAAGAGAGCAATAAGGTCTCCCCTGTGTCTCAACTTCTCCACTTGCCTGTGTACCAGCTGGTGTAGAACACACACAGGGATACTGGCTCCTGTATGTCATTCTATAATATGTCAGAACAGAAAGCCAAATGCTCAAGTATGCCTTAAAACATCAACTTTTAGGAAATGGTCCAGAAATAGCATCCGTTAAAAACATGGTGAAACAATTGTCTCCATTGAAAACTGAGGACTTGGGAGGAGCAGCCTGGGTGGGGTGCCATGTATCTACAGCCGTTGACTGACAATTTTCCACACAGCCTAGAAACTCTATGTGCTTTCAAGAAAGAGGCACAGCAACAGGCAGTGCTTCCTAATGATAAATGAAAACATACCCTCTGGAAAGAAAGGAAAGCACAGCATGTCATTGTAGCATGTCACCCAAGAAAGGGAGTCAAACCTGAAAGCATGTAACTGAGGAAAAAAACTCCTACGTGTCAAATGTGAAAAGCATGAAAACAAGCAAAAACAGTCATCCAGATTTCTTCCTTCTCTTAAATATTTACCTGAATTGTTTTGTTGGTCTATAGGGAGAATAGCCTGCTTTCAAACCTGCTGGAACTGCAAGTATAAGTAGCATCCACAGTCAGAAGTAAAACCACCTCACAACTTCAAGTGATAAATTCACTCTGAATAGAGAGCACACATCTGTGGAGGAAAAACTGCAGTGAGCAGGGTGTGCATCCAAAAGCAAATGGGCAGTCTTTGGTTCTATGATGATCAGGGGGCCTTGATAACCTGAGAGGTACATAGAAAGTCCTGATTGTGAGGCCTGGGATCTGGCTGCATCAAGGGCAGCTTTGTGGCTCCTCTCCTCTTTGAGGAAGAATGAGAGAGCTGTCAGGATCTTCTGGGACACCTCCCACTTCAGCTCTCACTTGACCACGTGTGGTCTCGTGATGGAGCAAGCTGGCCATTGCTAAAAAGCTCAGAGCAGACAAGGGTAAATTCTCACACCGACCCTCAACACTTAAATGTCAGAAAGATCCAGAAAAAATGTTCACTCAGAATAAGGGATAAGTTTCACCTTAATGATTAGAACATAAATTTGGTGTCTGAGCCTCAAATAATGATACTTCAGAAGTGAAGTGGTACATTATCTTCATCTATATTGACATCATGGTAGCAGGGCAAATTTCCTGTTATAAACACCACAACCCCAACAAGAAACTATTGAACCTCTTATTGTTGTGGCTTGCACTTCTCACCAGTGACCCAAACGTGCACATAAGAGCACATGACTGGCTATGCAACTGAAAGGATGCACTATGCTACCAACAGCAAAGCAGGTTCTCTAGAAACTCACTGCTGTTGACTAAGGAGATGAAGCTACTGATATATCAACATGCTTCAGGCTGACCTTGTACTCCACACAGCTGCAACACTCACCAAAGTCCATGCAGGTTTTCCCGGTGTGAAATCCTCAGTACTGAACATTTACAACTAGCTAGTAAGATTATCCCTCCCTCTTTTCCCTGCAAGAATACTTGCTCCTGAAATCCTGAAGGAGGCTTCTCAGCTCCACAGCATTGCCGAGGGGTGCTTGTGGATCAGAGAAGCATCAGAGAAGATCTTCTGCTTCTGGATCTTTTCCCAGTCACTCCAGCGGAGGCTGTTCCCATGCAGGAAGCCATATCGAGCTGGTGGGGCTGCAGAGACCTCTGAAGGATGACTCTAGCCTTTCAGAGTGATTTCAAATCTTTAGAAGTTCCCAGTATTTTGTTGTCCCACAACGTCAGAGGCAGATGGATGGTGGTATGGCAGTAGGGGACGAACCTTCTCTGCAGTATTTCCATTACATTTTGTAGTCATGCAGCAGATGGCAGCAGAGGGGCAGTCTG